AAGCGAAAGCGAACGCTCAGCAAGAACAACCACAAGCCCTGCATCCCTTCCCACAGCTAATGTCGTCGGCGACTCTGCAATCAGCCCTAGCATCACAAGTCTTCCACGACCCGTAACCACGGTTCCGAGCAGTCCAGCACCACCGTCCATCTCCATCACAAGCTCTGTAACAGTAGCCCCTAGAACATCCGTATTCGCCGGGGTCGACGTCCCAACACTTTCCCCAGCCATGCTTCCACCACCAGTGTTCAGCAGTGAGGGGTGCGCTGGTGTTGCTATTGGCATCCTCTGCAGCAGCTGCAGCCGCGGCATAGTTGGGGCGAGTTCCGACAGAGCCCTCGGGTCGAGGGTTCGGGCCAAGAGGATGCTCCTTGCACTTTCGGATCTGAGAGGGGTCTACGCCCTTTTCGTCCATAGAGCCGGCGGTATAAGACATGACTCCGAGCTGTCCGCACTCATCCGCTGCGTTAGCGGGGGCGACTCCGGCGAGGATGGGAGTGGCAAAGAGGAGCAGGGTAGTGGCCGCAGTGGTGAGCTTCATCTTCTTTTTGGGGGAGTTGGAGAAACAAAGAAGTCAGATGGGCGTGCTGTTGTCAGGATTGAGTTTTCGGGGAATGCGGGTACGAGAGCCCAGCCACGTGGATAAAGTTCAGATTGACGGGAATGACGATGCTTGTTTGACAAAACTAAGGTGGTTTGGTGTGCGGTGGTGTGTGGTAATATGTAACGGTGATATTGCTTGGATGAGGGTAAGGTTAGAATGATTTGTTTTCATCGTCCATCAAGCCGGGAGGTCATTGCCAGCTTTATACTTGGACGTTCCCACCATCTCTTCCGCCCCAACGAACCATGACCGCATTCCCTAGCTTCCCGTCCTTGTTTTTCGATGAAGCTTGATTCTCCGCGAACTCCGTGAAAATCACCCGTGATAAGGAAGTTTAGCATAAGCGAACACGAATTCGGAAGGGCGGGCGTGGGGTGATGTTCCACTCACACGGATTGCTTCCTCCTGCCGGGCCGAGGCCTCTTTCACGGCTGACTCCTTCGGTTGGCGATAAACATTCCAAATCCGTCTGCTCAGCAGGAATACTCACGTCACCAGACGGCGAGGATGGCGATTAGCTTTGAAGTATAGAAGGCTGGATTTTAGGAAGTAACGGAGCTTTTCTGACTCGGATCTAAGGACCGACTCCTGATTCCCGATGGGGAAGTCACTCACTCGGTAGAACTTTGAAGATTTACTCGGGACTCGGAAACTATCATCGGGATTTACGCTCCGGTAATCTGGTAAATGATCTTGTGATCAATAGCTGCAGCAATAATATGACATCAGAAGGGGCGCTGCGTAATTTTCGAAGCTTTGATAGCGCCCGGAGATCTTTTGCCAGGTTAGTGCCTCGCTCGGTTCAAGTAATCAAGCTTGCAGGCTATTATAGCGCACCTCGATATTCATCTGAGAACGCCACGACTGATACTGGTCATGGAAGAGGAAAAGAGAAAGGACTTGAGTCAATTGACTAGCAACTTGGAACATGTGTGTTGAATGAACTCGTTTTCGTAGGCGCCAACACCTTTCTCCAAATTCACTCATGTTTACATCTTCACCTATTAAATCTGGGACGCACGTTGAAAGTAACAATTTCGATCTGTTTTCCCAAGCCACCCATGAATCACAGGACTTCCTTTCATAGCTCTCTTGCCAGAACTCCGACATGAATGCTGGGCATCCCACAGTGAGCGTCCCTCCCATCCACGTCCCTTCATGTTTTGGACCACAAACTTTGGCTTAGCACGGAGCAAATTAGCCTGCACGTAAGGCTTCGGCACCCATGTGTCTCTCAACGATAATTAACTAGACCCTCAAAGTCCGTGAATGCAACTTAATGCAAGATTCATTTTGAGCTAGATCTCAAGACGAACTCACCCGAAGCTTCCAGCTAAAGTCTATCAAGAGACATGCTCAGCTGCCAGCTGCTGAGAGCGTGCCGCAGTACATTAACATCAGTATCATGGCAAGCTTATCAAAGTTCCATCCATGGATACTAATAGGGAGATTAAAGGTGTCGTACTTCTACAAAACTTTTACTCCGTACTTTGCAGCACCTATGAGTCGATTTGATCTTCGACTATATATGACTCTTCCAGCTGCATCTAGTGCTCGCAAAAATTGAAATCATTCGAGCCAACACGATAGTTTGTGTTATCCCCAACTGTTGTTCTCTCCTTCATGACCTCCAATCTCATCTCCTTGGCTTTCTCGAGACCAAACGGAATTTCGAGGTTCTCAAATACCATGTCGATGATCTCAGGCGGCATCCGTCCCGTAGTCACCTCGTCTCTAAACCAGTGTTTCTGCTGCGGCGGCACGTTGGCGGTGCTAATGACGGGGACGTCCGGGTCTACGAGGAACAGCGCCAGGATCTTGCGATGTCCTGACTTTGTCTTGTCGATAAGCTCAAAGGGGGCTACGCAGTGCTGATAAACATTCGGGAAAGCAATGAGGCGATCTTCGCGAGTGAGTACACTGCCGAGGTCCTGAATAGTGTTGCCCGAGGGGTCGATGCTAAAGGTCCTTCCGATAGAGTAGAAGTCGCTCTGCTCGTACTGGAGTTCCGACATGAGATCTTCCCTGTTGGACTTGGTTCGGAAGGCGAGTCGACTCTCCGTAATATTTTCATTGTCGTAGTAATACAGGGCCGTGGCGCAGATGTGCTCATTTAGTAGGCCCTCGATGTGCCAAGAGCCACCGTCGTAAGTCGGCTTCTCTGGAGTGAGATGGATATTTGCAAGCTTCACGATGACTTGAATCCGCTCAGCATTATCGAAAAGCCCATTTTGCAACCTGACATCTTCGCCAGTGATGGGCATTCGTGTGTAGGGAGGAATATTCGGGCGTGAGAGAGGATGAGTTGCGTTGTACCAAATCTTGTCTCTGCGCCAAGTCAGGGATTCAGGTTCGTCGTCGCTATCTTCATAGTCGTCATTGTACTCGTCCACTTCGCGGGGCTGCTCATCCGACTCCTGGGGGCGGGATTCAGGGCGGCACCAGTAAGGACCTTTGTTGCAGATCTCGGGAGTAGTGCAACACCTCCCAACCTTGGGCATCAACAGGCGTTGGACTTCGAACTCCTCGGGCCATCGGTGAACGACATCCCAGAGGGGCACGACCTTACCCAGCACTTTTTCGATCACCGAATACAGATCCGCATGCTTGGTGGGATGTAGATTGTTGATGTAACTTGCAATTCGAGGTTTTTCATCATCGAGCTCGACCTCGCAAGGAAGCCACTGAAACTTGGTAGACCAGCATAGGTCCACATCTTCGTCAGGAGTCGGGATGACGTCTCCTCTGCCGCAGTACTTCATTGTGTCCGCCAATGGGATCCGTTTGTCAGATAGGACGCGGGTCGTGCCGTAGGCAAGCGGCCAAAGCGACGGGTGAACAAGGTCAAGAACCTTCTCATCGCTACCGGGGTGCCAATCCTTGTGTGCATCCGGGACATCCTCAAGCATGGCCACAGCCTTCTTCAGCTCTTCCTTGATTTCCGGCGTCAGAGCATTGTCGGACTTGATCACAGCGGCCGAATAATCAAAGACCGGAATGATCCCTGTGGCTTCGTACAGCTTGGCCTTTTGTCGGAGCTCCTCGAGAGACTAGAATGATGTCAGCTGGGCGGTCTTGTTGAGTTGGAGGGCGAGGCATGAGACGAACCCATTCGAACATGTCGTCATCAAAGTGAGCATATTTCAGGCCCACTGAAGCCCAGTCAACAGCCATGACTTCGGCTTTCCATTTAGCAGCGATGTCATCGTTGAAAACCTTCACGTGCCAATCCGGTTTGTTGGTGATTTGCTCGATGAACCACATGATGGCCAGCTCCGAGTACGTCAATGTGATGGCGGTCCAATCGAGCACCGCGCTGGGAAACATTTTCTTGGGCATAGCATTGACACCCAAACCAAATCCTGGTCGTACAAGCTTGTTCAGCTCCCCGTCGTCCTTGATTTGAAGTCAGTGTTGGCCGCCCTGAAGCGCATTGGATGGCGAACTCACAAAGGTGTGGAAACCCTCATTGAGATCTCCCTTATTGAGCACGGATCGGATCGAGTCTTCTTCCACATCCTTTCCCAAGTTCTCGGCGATCCACTGCATTGCCATTGGAATGGTCGGCGTTTTCTGCGAGCCTTGCTGCTCGGCCCAGTGACGCAGAACGAGTCTGTCTCGGGCGGTCAATGGTGTTTTCGACATGTGGCCAGACGCTCGTTGAGCACGTGTCAATTAAGGGTGGTGGAGAGGTCGGCGTTGATAGACAGGCGATGGTGATCTATGAGTATTGTGCAGTCTTTGTAGTGGTGCAACTGGAATTTCTCTCGTTTTTGTATCGAGAGGATTGCTAGAAAGAATTGTTAGGGAAGCCACAAGGTTCTTGGAGTCAAATTTAGGCACGCAGGCTACCGCGCTATTTTCAGTAGCTCCCCAAGCCAATCGAGCATGGCGTCAGGCGGTAAGCATGGCTAATTCTTAACGCGAAATTGTCGCGAGGTCATGTGGATTTAGGACCCTCATTGCTGCAGTCTTGGCTGGCTGTTGCCTAGCGCTGCCTGTTTTCACGTTGTTGGTTTGAAGATGGATGCAGGAAACCCCTGAAACAAAGACTGTGGCAAACGAGGTTATTCTGATTTGTTACTTTAGATGGAGGAAATAACTAGATAATTAAGTGTAATGTACTAAGATACCAAAAAATACCTTGATGCGAAAGCAACTCTTTTGATCATTATTGTCTAGCTGATGACAAGTCTGACTTAAGCATCAAAGCGATTGCACAACATTTTTGTATCACAATCGCGCTCAGCCCACATTGATCCTAGCCTTACATTCCTCGAGATGTCCTCGGCCAGCATGTTCATCGATCAGGCCGATGATGCAGGTTTGGTCAATGCATCGGAACGCCAATCAGAGCAGATGAAATTGTCTGATGCTGGGGAACCCTGGTGATAGCTCAGGACTTCGGGGCTTTGATGAGGTCGATCGCCAGATTATCCCAGATCGCATAGCCCCCATTCGGCGTTGGCCTGTACTCCAGCTTGACAGAAAGTTTTGCTGTTTTGGCAGTAACCTCAATCGACATGGTTTGCCACTCTTCGAAAGTGAATCCAGGACTGAACTCAGCCATCTGCTTCTTGTAGACTTCTCCCGATTCAGCAGAGGCTTCAAGAGTCATGAGGCGACCACTCCTCCAAACATTTCCCATCATGTAGCGGAGCGAAATCCGGTAAGTTGCACCGATCGTAGCGTTGACAGACGTCGTCAGCGACGTTCTCGACTCTAACTTAAGCGCCGTGGGGTTGGTGTTTCCAGGCACGAAGGAGGATTCTGCTCCCTTAGAGCCAGTCCAGAGCTGGAGGTCGGAATCACTCTTGAACGAGAACGAGGCCAGCTTGGTGGTGCTTGAATCGGTAGGAAGCTTGAACACGCGAGGATCCCGCCGATAGAAGTTAGCCCTGGTGTTGCTGCCGCAGAGCTCGGTTTTCGATCCTGCACACGGCGAAGAGCATTCCGACTCAGCAACGCGCTTGGTCGGTGCAGCGTGGTGACAGTAGCATCTGTTTGACTCGAACGTGGCGAAATAGGCTGATGTTTTGCAGTACTGTGTAGCACAGAGCTCCGCAGTCATAGCCTCATTCTTGTAAGAGCCGATTTGAGATGGGATCATTGCCGAGCCTTCAACAAGGGTTGTGACGAAGCAGCCTACATATAAGGTGTTGGCAAGTTTGGCAGGCTGGGGGCCGCTGGAGGGATTGCTGCGAGGAACGCATTTTGCGGGAACAAGTGGAAGTAGAAGAAGACCAAGGAGTGTGTCGCGCAGACTAAGCCGCGGAGAAGTTGGGACGGACATGGCTGGAAGGAATGAAGATCGGAAAAGACTGTGAAAGGCGCGCGGATGGAATGACAACCACTTCGGTCTTCATGACTGGTGTTGAGTTGCTTTTTGTATTTTGGATGTGTCACATTGAATATTAACAGAGACAGAGACACTTCTAAATTGGTCGTAGCATCTCAACTTGGCTATTGGAAATTTTGAGTTGTGGCGCGAAGCTGAACAGCTGGTGTCTTGACTCGTCTTTCTAAATTCTACCAACTCTTCCCCTGTAACCTCAAGGGGTTAACCCCAGCCACAGTACACTAATCATACCACATGGGAATTTCCACGAAAACTTTCAATTAAGCTTAGCCAGCATGCTTATTGAGTCATGGCTTGGAATCACAGCAGTCGGAAGTCGATAGTTTATCCAAGACAACACACTTTCAATTGCCGGTGTATTCTTTTGGTCAAGCATCACAGAAACGAGGCAATACTTGTTCAGACAACGGCCCAGGTAAGCCTCAGGGCGCACCATTGAAGTTCTGGAAGCATGAACTCGCATTTTCATTCGGAGGCCATACCTAGATATAGCGCTAACCTTGAAGCTCCAAGCGGTCGCACGACTCAACCCCCAACCTGCCCATCTCTGCTCCGGCAGTGAGAGCAAGGTCGAGGAAAACATTCACAAAAGCCTCATTGACGCACCAATCATTGCAGTCCGAACTCTTTGATTTAAGTATTAGACATATTTGACCAAATCAAGTACTCCCATCCATGCAAATATAGTAACAAGAGGAAAACGTCCTATTCTCATGTCTTGCCATCGAGCCATCCACAAACTCTTAGTTGGCAGCGCCGTTGACGGCACCGTACTGGATGCAGTACTCCTCCCACTCGTCACCGCCAATGTGCTTGGCGGGGGAGTTGCAGGTGGCGACCTCGGCGTCGTCGTCCTTGACACCCTGAAAAGAATGGGTTAGCTTCTGATATGAATTCTGGCGGGAATGTTGCGGTGGTGACTTACGAGGTAGCAGTCGGGGCAAGTGTCCCAGACGTCGTTGCCGGTGTGGCGCTCCTTGTAGGCACCGCAGGCAGCCTCGGTGGCGGCGACGTTCTTGGGGTCAGAGTCCTTAAGGCCCGAAGAGATACACCAGGCAGCGGTGTGGAGGTTGGCAACAGCACTGAGAAGCGTTAGAAGATGTATTCCAACTTGTAGTGAGGTGGTAGTCTTACCCAGTGGCGCAGGCAACAGCGGCAACGAGGATGGTAGAGAACTGCATTTTGATGGATTGGGTTGGGTTGGTATTAAGTAGTAACCTGAAGAGACTGTAGAAAGTTGGTTGAAAGAGTGTGAGTTGTTTGGATTAAAGATTGAAGTGTGAGTGAGTGGATGGTGATGAGGATGAAGAGAGAAACACTTTTGAGAGGGAAAACCAGTCTCTATTTATCTCTCGAGAAGACGCATCTCCTGATGTCGATATGGGGTTTCCGGTGCTCCTCGACCAAGGCCTGTCGGGCACTGAGATACATGCTCCGCTCGACGCTGACGACGCGGAGGCTCAGCTTCGAACATCTCACTGATGGATCGTGGATCGTGAAGTAACATCACGGCCCACAAGGCTCTGCCAAGGTGCTTTGCATGACTAGAGATCCCCTAGGGAGTGAGCGGGAAGACTCCACAAGGCGTCCGTGCCTCGGGCACAACAACCCCTATGAGCAATCCCACATAGCGAGTGTCCATACATCCGGTACTATCATTCATGCCTTCGAATTATGATAGGGATAATTCCTCGGTTCGATTCCGGCATCGCGGAGAGTGTTGGTCTGACAACCCCAAATCGCTGCTTTAGCTTACATTCACTGTGGGATGCGATAGCCAAAGTTGCGTCTTTCGATTACCCGGGGAGCACGACGAGAGATTCTGGTCTCCGTATGAAAACGTGAAAGAACAGCATGAAGACACAATTACTACAAAGTGAGGAAAGTGAACACCTAACGAGCAAATGCCATGAAGTATGAATCTCAGTCCAGATCATACCATACTCACAACATCACGGATACAATCAGTCATCAGTTCATCTAAACATCCAGCACAGCCGCCTTCAACGGGATAAACAACGGTAAAGTGGGAGTTATGTATAATCCTCCGAGCTATGTGTGGAATCTGTGGGGGTCATCCGAACAATTCATTCAAAAGCAGTAATGTCCGAAGGCTTGTACAAGCCCTACAGTCTGCAAAATGATCAATGCTTCCTTCCCGCGGTACGGTTAAAAACATGCTCAAATTTTGGCATGGCCAGCGGTTTGACAAGCTTGCCACTAACCGCGGGAACTATATTTAGTCATGCAAGGCGTTCCCTCACGTCACCCCCGGAAGGCGGGGACCGCAGGACCCAGAGAGTGCTCCCTCCTTCCCCTTTATTTCACGTCCGAGCGGCCGGGTGCCGGATGCTGGGAACATCGCAGCGGAAGAGGTCCGATGGGAGGCGGGTCTCCTCGGAGGTGTCTGTGCTTCACGGCATGTGGGAGCAAACAACACAGCTTTCAAGGCACAGGAACCGCGAAGCGAGATTAGGGCGCTATGCATCCCCGCGAACATGTCAAAAAAAGGCAGGTCTTGTCTAGGGCTGCGCAACCAACAACGATGAGCCCTTCGGCAGAGTTGCCCTCTTGGCATCACGATGTTATCGTCTGATAACTCGGCAAGATCTTCCCGGGCGACTTGCTGACTTTGACCGTTCGACGCAATGTGATGATGCAGTCAGCCTCACTGCAACTCACAATTTACCCTTCCGAACATCCTGACCTGCTCCGTCCGGTCCGGTTGCGCCGGGTTTGTTTGGCTCCACTCGGAGAGCATGCCGGTACGGGATCACCGTTGAAAGACTTGCCCCTTTAGGAAGCCCCTGATCTCGAGTTGATTATAAGCTAGAAACACTGCCCATTGTGATTCACACCGCCATCAAAATCATCGTTTTAGTGGTAGGAAATTAACGTCGTAGAACTGGATCATAACTGCTAACAAGAGCGTTCAGCTGCCTGTTGACTTATCAGCCCTTTGCATGCCAACGTCATCTCGAGCCCACTGTCGCCATCAAGAACCCACCTCATGAGAAACGAGCATTTTATAAATTTTGTCAAAACCCACAATCGCAATTTCATTTGAGGACCTACTTGTACGATCTACACTGTCAGCAGGTTCGCGATCATATCATCATAACCGGTGGACATTTCAATGGAGAATCACGAAGTGGCTCAGTTGTCGCTACGTGGGTCTTATGGGGGTCATCGGGCTGTGATGAAAACTTGGCGCTGTGTCCACTTCGTGACCAAAACTTGACATGGAGTTTAGCGGTACGCTAGGAGTCGGCTTCACCGTGAAACCGAACCACGATCTTTGGGGAAGGTCTTCAAACCTGAGGTCAACCGATATTGATGTAAATCTCAGTCTTCATCGAAGCGAGTGTAACGACAGACACACCTGCATGACTTTCAGATTCTCTCCAAGCAGTCTCGAAGTCCCTGCGAGCTTTTGTGAATACATTCAAAAGCGTCTGGAATAACCCCAACTTTTCCTTCAAAACCAAGATAGACTGCTCTTCCCTGGGCAGCACCGCCTTCAGTCCACATTTTCGCTCTCAGAGCCTTTCCTAACCGTGCAGCGCTGGAAGCCGCTGGCTCGTAGTGTGGTGTTCATCTCCTCCTCTGGCACACCGACAAAAACGCCCTTCTGGAGAACGAAACGCGGCATTGCCCTCTGTGAACCCGAAGCAACGAAGGACTCCCTACCGGCCAAGAAGTGCCGCCGCGCTTCATCGAGAACCTTCTTGACGTAGGAAGTTGCGCCACCGCTGACAGGACTGGAAGGGGGGTACGATATCCCCTCAATCAACTTATCAACCTCATCGTCCGTTGCCAACCTCGCCTTTTGAAGGACCTCGACAAGCTCAGCACTCTCAGAAACTTGCGCGATGACGTGCCAAGAGTTTCCCGGTAGGCTGTACTGCGTCGGGCGATAGAGCCAGATCACCGCGGCGAAGGCGGCAAGAAAGACGGCCAGAATGCCCGCAACGGCCCAGTATCCCTTGAAATCCTTCGGAACCTGCATCGGTTCAAATGTCACTATATCTGCAACAGCGGCCTCACGATCAGGCTCGTTGAGTGAGTAGCTGCTCATTCTGTTGTAGTATATCGACCGCTCCAGTGTGAAGTACAGCGCCTGTAAAGCTCGCGCGGGCGATCCCGTCTCCGTGATGGTGTCGGCAAATATTCGCATGTAGAGGCTGTCGGGAATAATGTAAGATGGTGTCAGCTTCGGCACGCAAGATGGGCAGAGTCTTAGTGACGCGCCTCGCGATGCATCGAACACCCCACTAAGAAATTTGTTCATTGCCTGATTCGTTCTATATTTGGTCCATGTCGTGCCGTTGCGGGCCTTGGTCATACGCAAACTCAGTCCGTCTCGGTCGATGGCTAGGATTGCGTCTCGGTTGTGGGCTCGCGGCCCCGAGGAAGGGTCCGCGATAGCGTTGAGTTGTTTGCGCACCATTTTTGTCGTGGAACTCCCCGAATCAACGTCCCAACAGTAAGTTGGCTCAGCTCGGGATCTCTGACTGATTAGAGACCTTGAAGCGTGTATATCAAGTTGATGTATTGATCCTACTCTGTGGTTTGTAGAAGCTTTTAGAAATTGTGATAAAAGTTTCTCAAGCCCTTGGCTGTCTGGGAACTTACCGTCTGGGCAGCGCGCATATCGTCATGTTGACTGCCATGCTCCTCGAAAGGTATTTGATCTCGTTGATTGCAGTTTCTGGATCAGTCGGAAATCTGATTTCCAACTCCTGCTTTGTCCATGGTCCGTTGTTTGTCGTATTCAGCATTTTGATTGTTGATTGATTTAAGGATTTGTGGTCGCCCAGGATGGCGGGTTGACTCACGTGCCAAAGAAGCTTGATATCAGTTCCTCTGGTATGATTGTGTAGAGACCACTCAAGCCCCATCGAATGATGATCGAAAATATGATTTTGACAAACCTGCCAGAAGTTTTCTGACATTCCGGATTGAACACCAGAGACAGGACATACGAAGGCAATTTCGTCATTCTCCGGCCAATCCAAGCTTGCAGCAGCGGCTACAGAATGGTTGAGGTGAAATACACCACATATACCAGGTTCCACCCTAGAATCGCCCAAGTCGATCTCACAAAATGTAAGATTACTGATTTCCGGCTGCAGACAAACAACACGTGAATCACTAACACGCGCCATACCCCTAAATTCGGCGAGCGATTGCCTTGCGTCCGTCGAGGGTAATGGAAGAAACGCTCGGATGGTCGGGCCTGTATCATCTATCCCATCGACATCTATCTGAGGCTCCGAGTACTCGGCGAACGTTTCGGCCGAGCGCGGTCCTTGAAACCAATAGTAGTCTGGATCGGCTCCCATATCCACATTATCTTCGGGATACTCCCGTGTCGAAATAGCTGGACTCTCGCGACCTCGATAGTAGAACAAGGTAGGCACCGTCCGCGCGAACGAGATGATCTCGCTCTGCTGGAGGTCAGACACGAGCAGCGTTGAGACAAACTGCACGGCGAGAGTTGTCAAGATGAGAAGCACAATCATCAACCTGACGACTGCGTCTAGTTGTGAGTGCTTTATGGCGAGGTATCCCAGCGAGAGCGGGCCGCTGTTGGAGAATCGGGCGATGGAGACTTGGGCGACGGCATGGGGGTGGACACCGCGACGCTCCACGGCAATCGAGGCGATCATTGTTGTAGCTGTGGCAGCGATCGTGCCAACCGCAGTGCGAATCGTGACCGAGGCAAGTGTCACGCTGGGCTGAAGCCGGTTTGCCAGCACCCATGAACGCCAGCGTTGGTCGTCCTGGGGAGTCCACCACATCCAAGTGACGAAGGTAAAGGCGGCTGCGACAGAGACAAGAGAGAGAAAGATACTGGCTTTTATAAAAGGGTCCAGGCTTTTGGGTAATTCGTCGGGGGTCATTGAATGTTGGTCCGTGGGCTCATCAGGCAGCCCGCGAAGCGGAAGACTGTGTTCCCCATGTCTGTTGTCTGGTTTTCCGGTGATTCGTCGAGTCTGTGCAGTATTCCAGAGCGTTGCTGAGGTCTGCGAAGATGTATTAGGATTTAAAGGTTGATACATAGTCAGGAATAGACCTGTGCAAAGTTATCAAATGTAAGTTATTGCAAGATGTAAATGACTTAGGCAGCAATAGGAGGGTCAAGTGATGAAACGGCACCACAATCTTGATGATGGATATCGGGATGAGCATGTATATGGTATTTATGTACAGCGCAGAAGTTTACCAAGACTTTATTATAGGTCAGGTCTCAGGCAGAACAAGTTTGTCTCTTCGGAATGTAGCTGAACACTAATTTGAGATCGGCAGGGTAAAGGGTTGCAGCCTAGCCTCGTCCTTCCTAATACGGCCGCTGTCCTCCACACTCGTTTGTTTGCCACATCAAGGTCTGGGTAAGACAACATGACACTTCCGCCTTACACTACCACTCGGTCTGCGAAAAGACAGTGGCACACTTAGCAGGGCCTTCAGTACAAGCACGTCTTACTTGGCCCAACAGAAATACCAGATTGTAAAAGAAACCAGTGTTTTGGCCTGGTCATCTAGCCTTTATGATTATCTAACATAGTGAGGATAATGTACGTTTCCTGTGGAAGTCGCTCCCTTTCGAAGCTTTTGTTAGCGGATGGTGTAACAGTCTTTTCTTTTTGTGACCCGCGTGACTGCCTCGATCTCGGCTTTTGCCTTGTACAAAGCCCGCACAACCCAACTCTAGGGAAGTTTCTATGATTCGCGGGCAAGGCTCTTGTCCAAGATCTTGGCTGAGACAGACGAATTGCCTGCAAAGGTGGGAAGCTGCGACCCCTCAACTGCTGTCTGCATTCTCAATTCCCTAGAAACAGCGCCACTTCTCACAGTTTCCTCGTCATACCAATCGATGCTATGGCGCAATGCTACCGATTAACTTCGGGTTTTGCTAGCTACGCCGAAGGTTTTTGCTGGCCCGGAAATGGGTAAGATCCCAATGTGCACATACGTTATGTTAACAAGTAGGTAAGCATCAACATTCCTAGGTAGGTAGCGCCGTCAATCTGTCATCATGATTGATCCTGCTACGCGGCAAGCCCATCACGTAGCTACTACATGGTGTGAAAAGTAATAGAAATGTGTCGCTTAAGCCTGTCTATCAAACTCGCACGGATCGGGAGCTCTTCCGACTCTGAAAAGGTGAAAAGGACAAAATCCACAATAAAAATATTTCCCAAAGTGGAGATGTTCGGCGATTAGATGGATGGATAAGATAATTATTCACGGGGGAAACGGTCAAAGTCCAATTGACGATTTTCACAGTGCATGTGCAAATGCATCTTATGCTCATTCAATTGTCGGGATGTCACCCGACAGTTGTTTGTGAATGCAGCTATTATTTCGTTGAGCCAATCAATCTGAAGTGCTTTCCAAGCCGGTTCACCAACCGTCAAGAGTCTAAACTAGGGCGATGCAGCACGGTGAGTCTCCAACAGAAATTCCATCTGATAACGGTCTTGAATCTGGGGACCCCGCCGCGGTTGCCGAAAGTAAAAAGTACCGAGGTCACGGAAACGGTGGGAGGGTCGATTTCCCGCTGCCGCTGCATCCCATCCCATCGCGTCCCGTCCGCTGGCTGCAGTACTGTGAATGATGGAAGGACGGCAGACGCCGCGGCACATCGGTAAAAACGGAGGGCGCCGCTGCAGCTGCGGGCTTGTAAGTTGTGTCACCTGTGCCGTCAATGGTGTGCTCCTGCCGAAACTCTCTTCTAAACCCAGCTCTCGCCCAGCCTCCCGCGTGCATCTTTACCGACACGGCGACACCTGCTGGCTGGTCACCCCCCGTCGAAGCCCAGTCAATCAGCATCCACCTCGGCGCATGAACATGGCTAATTTGAACAACGGTTGAATTCCTTTCTGCAGCAAAGCTTTGTTTTTTCTGTTCTCTGAGGTCCACCCAAAAAAAAGAGCAGCTGTCTCTCCTTCTCTTTTCAACGACGCAACTCCCACCGGCGACAACGTCTTCCCCCAGAATTGCGTCAATTTTCGGCCTCACACCGACGACCTCCACACCTTACGTCGTGTGCTTCCCTAAGCTGTCGATATCCATCGAAACCTCGAACGAGAGCCCACAATCCCTCCTCGTCTTCCGATCCTCGGGCCAAAGCTTTTTTACCACCGACACCGAGCTCCAGAAGCTTTCCATAAACCCTGGAAACATCCCAGCATTGAGCTCTTTTTTTTCCTTTTCTTCTCTCCTCTTTTCTCCCTCAACCTTCAATCCTCACACACACCACCACACAGAAGGAGACAGAGAGAGGCGTCTGCCGTCGACGGCCATCACCACCGCAACCATGTCGACAGAGACAGAAACAGCAGACCAGGCGCCCGTCGTCTCCGACCTCCCCTCCGGCGACCCGATCGTCCCTCCTCCCGCGCCGGCCGCCGCATCCTCAAAACAGCCTCAACCGCGCCCGCCCCAGGTGCCCCTGCGCGTCCTCCTCGCCCTCTCCCCCTCCAACGTCGACGCCTTCGTCGCCCACCTCACCCGCTGCTTGGCGACCCCCTCCGGCATCGACGCCGTCCTCTGCTTCCTCTGCTACACCTCCCGCTTCTCCGCCTCCGCCCTCGAGTCCCTCTACACCTCCTCCCTGCGCCGCTCCGCCCGCCGCCTCGTCTCCCTCGCCTTCTCCCTCCCCAAGGACGCCACCATCCTCCTCTCCACCGCGCCCCCGTCCTCCCCCGCCGCCTCCCTCGCCCAGCAGACCGCCGGCCACCTCCGCGCCCTCGCGACCCTCACCTCCGAGGCCCGCACAATCACCCGCCTCTGGGCCCTGCTGCCCATGTACCTCTGGCTCCGCCGCCTCATGAAGACCTCCTTCACCACAAAGACCGCAGACGAGAAGGCCAAAGACGAGGCTTCCGGCGCCGCCCTCGACCGCCTCATCTCCTGGTTCCAGGTCACCGTCTGCATCCTCCTCCAGTCCCTCGAGAGCGCCTCCTACCTCGCCTCCAAGGGCGTCCTGCCCATGTCCCCCGCGCGCCAGGGCTTCGCCGCCCGCTGGAGCGTGCGCTTCTGGTCCTGCTACGTCGGCAGCGAGCTCGGCCGCCTGGCGGTCGAGTACCTGCGCCGCAGAAAGGCCCTGCGCGAGGGCAAGGTCGACGTCGCGAGCGCCGAGTACCAGGACGAGCTCGGCGTGTGGTCGCGCACCCTCGCGAGGCAGGCCGCGTGGTTCCCGCTCACGGTGCACTGGAGCATGGACAAGGGCTTCGTGCCGGAGATGGGTATTGGGTTGCTGGGGAGCATCCCTGGTATCGTGCAGATGCGGCAGCTATGGAAGGAGACTGCGAACGCGTAAAAGGAGAGGGGGATATGATACGGAGCAAGAGAAGGTTCTTAGATGGGATATGGAAGGAAAGGTACATTACAAGAATGATAGACGAGGCCATGCGGGTATGTGGCCATGCAGTGACTTTAATTTTCTTACCATTTAGATATCATCCGCGCGGTGCCGCCAGAACACCGCCCGCCGGAAGTAAATACGAGTTCTCAGATATGTTCATGACATTTTCTCTTCCTTCTTTCCTACCCAACACCACGCTATGCTCTTCCCCTTCTCCAACACCCACGCGCTCGCTCACATGGGCATGCTCCTCACCTCCTCCATCGTCCAATACCGCCTCATATTCTCCGCGCCCAGCGTCTTGACCTCCTGGTCCAGGTGCGTCCACAGCACCTCGCCCCAGCTGTCCATCTTCTCCCGCAGCACGCCCAGCTCCAGCTCCGTCTCGCGCGCGCGGCACGCTTTTAAGTAGGCCTCGAACTGGTCCATGCCCTTGTGGATCGCCCGGTGCTGCTGCAGCAGCGCGTCCGCGTTGCGCCCCGCGCGGAACTCGGGCATGCGCCGCGCCAGCATCGGGAACACGAAGCGCTCCTCGATCCCGTGGTGCGCCGTCAGGTGCTGCGCGAACTGCAGCCCCGTGTCGATGAATTGTTTTAGGGACATGTTGCGCGGGCGCCGGCCCGAGGTCGCGGCGTCGTGGAGGATTGTCCATTGTGCGCGGAAGTGGTTGTGCTGGGTAGCATTGTGGTCAGCGCATGTTTACGACGGGATGAGGATGGACACTGGGAAAGTAGAGAATCTTGGTGATGGCGGGGGTCGATGGTGGCGGGGTGCCACGAAGCTCCACGCAAAGGCAATGGAAAGGATCTGTGCGGGTTTTCGCTTTCGACTTACAAAGTAATCCATCTTCTCAGCCATCTGGTTGTACACTTTAAACTCGGCCGGCGACAACGGGGGCAGCGCAGGCTCTGCCGGCGCGGCGGCGGGAGTCTCTTCGGCCTTTGGTGTAGTAGTAGAAGCCTCTTGGGGCTGTTGCTCCGCGGCGCTCGACGACATTGTAAAATACAACTTGCGGATATCTGGAATCAACCTAGAGGGCGGCCACAATTTGCGTAGGGCAGAGCAGAGTTGTCCGGGGTTGCTGTTGTAGCCAAGGTTGGGATGAACTATGCGACGAGTATGCGACAAAATCCTCTTGGACAGGGCAGCAGCCGCTTTCATGTCTTCTTGGAGGGGGCTAAGCTGTTTCCAGAAATGGTCGGTCCCTCTCGGATAACGAAGAGCAGCCGTCAGATCGGACAATTGTCACTGCTTTGGACCCTGGAGGGGAGGGGCTGCCAGGAAGTACACCGCGCGGGTGGTAACACCCTAGACGCGCGGGCCAAAATGTGGCGTTGGGACGAATTGGAGAGGTCAGATTTGTCACTTGGAAGTTGAGAGCGTTGCCGCATTGAACAATAACACAATCTCAGCTTCTAAGATCCAATATCTAAACGTCAAAACACAGCGATTCTATCTGTTAGCCCTCGCGCTGTCCAAAAATCCAGCCTCTCCGCTTCTCTCTCTTTCCTTTCCTGCTCCATCCAAGTCTAGAAATTTTCTAATGCGCCTCGCTTGGTTGGTCAGTTCAAAGTCATCTTCTTACTCAGCTCTTTCAAAGCCGGCCGGGTGCGCCACACACCCACACGCCCCCGTATCGCGCGCGACCTCGCTCTTGAGGACTTGGGGCGAGTGTGCCGCGCGCGCGGTACGGTGTGGCTGTCCGGCTTTTCTCCGCTCTGCTCCGCTCCGCACAGTCTTGGTGCCGGCGTTCAACGGACGAGAGGACCCTCGATGCTTGGACTGAATGCTTTGGTAAGTGGCAGATCTGGATTACAGGTGGAAAAGGCCACGTGAAGCAGCACATCAGAGTGAAAACATCACGAACGGAACCGTCACATAGTACATACGCACGTCACAGAAACACGGGTCATATACATCATGACTCTATCAGCTTCTATTCCCTGAAGCTACAAACACCTTACCAACCAGGACTCGTGATCTTTCTGAACCCCGCGGCCGGTAATTTTAATTAAAAGCAACCAACCGTAATGCAGATACAAGCGTGAGAGAGAAAAAGTTTCCCCGTTTCCCCATTTCTTCCCTTTAACCCCGGACCGCGGCACCCAACGCGCCGCCCGTGAACTGAGTACCGCCGGCCTGCCGTTGGGTGTTGCCGCCCGTCCTCGGGCCGCCACCGCCTCCTCTCCGCGCGCCACCCCTGCCGCCGCCGCGACCTCCGCGTCCGCCCTGTCTCTCGAACGCGTTGGCCGAGCCCTGGGTGCGCTGCTCCAGTGTGCGCTCGTTGGTCTCGATGAGCGCGCTGGCCTTGTCCGACAGCGCGAGGGCCAGGCTCTGCAGACGGCTGAGCTCGACGCCCTTGCGGAAGATGACGGTCGACGTGACCTGGTCCAGGGAGGCCGCGAGCTCCTCGTGGCTGATCATCTTGCTGACGACCGCGAGGACCTTGCTGGCGTCCAGCTCGAACATGTTGCTGAGCGTCTCGACTGCCAGGGTGTCGTAGAAGGGCGCGTACGTGAAGAGGTACGTCCGCAGACCCTCTTCCTGAATCTGCTTGGAGAGCATCGTCTTGATGTCCTCCGTGTTGGGCATGAGGTCCCAGATCTTGATGCTGTGGATGAAGTTGGTCGACTTCTTCCACTCGCCGGCCGCGAGAGCCTTGGAGGCCTGCATGACGTGGTCTCTCGTGTTCTCGGGGGGTCCGGTGAAGATCTGGCGCTCGTGGTACTCGAGCATGCGGCGGTAGGTCTTGCTGATGACGCGCTTCTTGACGTCGGGGGAGGAGCCGGTCTGCGCCAGCAGGGGGATCTCGAGGAGCATGCTGCAGGTGAGGTAGACGCACTCGAGCAGCTCGAGGTTGATGTGCATGTGGAAGGGGAGCTGGCGCTGCTTCTCCAGCTTTTCTTGCTCTGGTGAGACTTGGTTGTATCTCTGCATCATGACGCCCTGAGCGAGCAGCTCCTTCTGGCGGCCACTGCCGCAGATCTCCTGCAGGGTGTTCTGGGCGTCGTAGACAAGACCCTTGCGGAAAGCGCAGAGACCGACCTGTACGAGAGTGCGGTTGTAAAGGATCTGGGAGGTGACGTCGAAGTTGGGGATGTTCTCCTGCAAATGGGACATGAGCATCATGTCACGAGCCTTGTAGTACTCGTCATGCAGGGCCAGGAAGTAGATCTGGCACAGCATGGCGCGGGCACGGAGGATACCCTCGGCGTTGCTGAACAGGTAGTTGCAGAGAACGTTGACGAGGTTTCCGGCATCCTGGGACTGGGAGCGGGGGGTGATGGTGGACTCGACGGTGTCCTTGACCGTCTTCCAGCAGTTGTCCTCGAGGATCTTGACAACCTGGGCGGGCTGTAAAATTGGGTTAGTGAATGCAGGATGATGACTTATGCTTCCTGAACATACCTTGAAGTAAACGTGCTCGAGGCGGCGAGTCACGATACGGTTAATGCTCTCCTGGGGAATGTCGAGGTCGGCGTCCTTGCGGAGGTACTCGTAGTAGAGCTGGCCGCGGAAGACGGTGTTGTAGAGGGCGCCCTCGTCGGTCAAGCGGTCAATGTATTCGGAGGTGTGGGGGTCGATGTTTTGGAGGGAGCGGGTGAGCTCGTCGTCCAGGCGCTCGACGTAGGAGACAATGGATCCAGGGACCTTGATGTACTTCTGGCCCTTCTCCAGGACAGGGGGCTTCTCGTCGTCATCCCACTCTTCAGCGTTCTCGACAACGACGTAGTCAGTGTTAGCCTCAAGAACGTTGATGAGCAGAGTCAGCTCCTTCTCAGCGGCCTTCCAGTGCTCGAGGGGCATGTAGGAAGCGCCACCAGCACCAAGGTCGAAACGTGTTGATACCAGGGTAAGGAGAACGCGGATCTGCTGGTAGGGGGTGTTGGCAATCTCGTAGAGCTTCTCCATGATCTTGATCTGCTCCTGTCTGTCGGTGTTCTTCTTTCCGCGGGTCTCCATGATGCTGCGGAGGTGCTTGAAGATGCTCTCGGGGGTGAACTGCAGGGTGCGACCGCCCTTTCCGACGGTGGCGAAGCCCTCGTCGTCGTCGCCGGCAGGGGCATCCTCGGGGGTATCGACGAAGCGGGCAGTCTTCTTGGCCTTGGGTGCGGGCTTCTCCTCCTCCTCCTCGGACTCCATAAAGCCATCGTTGTCGGCGCGGTAGGCATCGACCTGGGTCTGGAAGTCCTTGACGATCTTCTTGATCTTCTGCTTGACGGCGTTCAATCCACGGGCGGCGGTGGCGTTCATCTTCTTGGGGGTGACCTTCTGCTTGGCGACGGCCTCGTTCATGTAATCCTCCAATTCGGCAATCGTCTTAATGTAGACCTTGGGGGTCTTGCCGGCATCCTGCAGCTTTGTGACTTGGCGGTTGAGCTTGTCGAACTCTGCATCGTCACGTTAGCACGTGGTCTCCGACCTCGCAGATTTCCCATCGCGTCTCACCTGTGGAAATGGAGGCCCAGTCGCCGTTCTTCTGGCCGTTCTCGATGAGCTTGATGGTGGCCTCGAGCTCCTCGATGCGCTTGTCCTTGGCACTCTTGACCTTTACGCGCTCCTCATCGTCGCTGTCTTCGCTTTCCGAGGAAGCATCACGCAAGAAACGGTTGGCGCCGGACTTTTGACCTCCATCGCTGTCGTCGGAGTCGTCGGAGTCGTCATCGTCCTCCTCCTCCTCCTCATCAGAGTCCTCCTGGCCCTGCTCCTCCTCTTCCTCCTCCTCCTCGGAGTAGAGCTCCTCCTCGTCAGAGGAAGAGTCAGTGGAGCTGTCGTCTCCGCCGCGGAAAAAGCGAGACATGCTGGGCTATCGCTATCGGATCGTTCGTACGACGGGTTTGGTGATGCGACTGTAAGCGCGGGGGTGCACGGGAGGTTGTTGTCGTCGATGACTTGTCACGGGCTGGGTCAACCTCGAGAGGGGCTCAAATTGTGATAAAGAAATTTGAATTTTGGTGGGGGATTTTGGGGTTTAGCGAAAGACAGCTGGCAAGCCGGGTTGCAGCTGGCAGCGGGGTGTGGGCTACTTGCGGTGACTGCAAGGGTTGGTGCGAGCAGCGGTACACCAGAACGCTGGCAGGTGGCAGTGTGATGACTCCACCTCAAAAAGTTTCAGGCTCCAAGCTGTCTTTTGGTGACTGTGTGCGCCGCCGCGACGGAGATACGAGTCTGCTGGATGAGTGCACCGTGGTGGAGGGGTGACTAAGCCTGCCAGTCACTCCTGCCTCGACTCACCACCCAGGTAAGAGTCAAGCCACCAGCCCACGCCACCTTCTAGGTTTAAACTGATAGCTCCACTAAACCTGAACCTGGCCCGATACACCCCGCCGTTTTCCACCTGGCAGGTGCTTCCGCCGGACTTTAGTGTGGCCGTCGCCGCTGCAGGAGCTCGCGTTCTCACGTGAGGCCGCTGATCCCAAACTGGTTTAGCGCAATTATCTCTCTTCGCCCCGGGGGAGAGCTGCATACCCAAAAAATTCGCTGGCGCGGCGAGGTTCATTGTATTGATGAAATCATCAAACACCGCCTAATTTCAACACCATCGCGACACCGGTCATCGCTGTGAACTTTTGCGGGACCATTCGATCAACTTTTCATCTGCAGGCAGCTTCGATCGGTTTCCGGAATCGAGTACAACTGCTCTGCGACACCTGAAACGACTTTCGCGTCTTGACAGTCGCGACTGCGACTCCTCGACTTTGACGATATCACACCCACGCGAGACGAGTCTTATCATCGAGTCGAGATGTCATTCCCACCACCTCCTCCCCCCGGCTGGGGTCCTCCTCCACCGCCGCCTCCTCCGCCATCCTCATCGCTCCCTCCTCCTCCTGCCGCGCCGGCTCCCCCTCCTCCGGGTTATCGCCCCCCGACCGATCCCCAAATCGCGAAGTTCGCCCAGAAGAAGAAGGAATGGCTGCGGAATCAGCGCAACCGCTTCGGCGAGAAGCGTAAGGGCGGATTCGTCGAGACACAAAAGGCAGACATGCCGCCAGAGCATCTGCGCAAGATCGTCAAGGATATTGGCGATGTATCGCAAAAGAAGTATACCAGCGACAAGCGCAGTTATCTGGGTGCCTTGAAGTTCATGCCGCACGCCGTCATGAAGCTGCTCGAGAATATGCCCATGCCTTGGGAGTCGGCGAGAGAAGTTAAGGTTCTGTACCATGTCAATGGATGCCTGACTCTTGTCAACGAGATCCCGAGAGTCATCGAGCCTGTCTTCTTCGCACAGTGGGCAATGATGTGGACCTTCATGAGGAAAGAAAAGGCCGACAGACAACTGTTCAAGCGCATGCGATTCCCTCCTTTTGACGACGAAGAGCCGCCCCTGTCGTGGTCCGAAAACATTGAGGATGTCGAGCCTCTCGAGCCGATTCAGATGGAACTCAACGAGGACGAAGACGCGGCCGTGTACGAATGGTTCTACGACCACCGCCCGCTTCTCGATACCCCCCACGTCAACGGGCCGAGCTACAGGTCATGGAACCTCAGCTTGCAACAGATGGCTACCCTGTTCAGACTGAGTCGACCTTTGATTTCGGACGTGGTGGACAAGAACTACTTCTACCTCTTTGATCGGAAGAGCTTCCTTACCGGAAAGGCGCTCAACGTCGCGCTTCCCGGTGGTCCGCGTTTCGAGCCTTTGTACAAGGATATCGACCCCAACGACGAGGACTTTGGAGAGTTCAACGCCATTGACCGAATCATCTTCAGAAACGCAATGCGAACAGAGTTCCGTGTGGCCTACCCGTACCTCTACAACTCGCTTCCTCGAAGCGTTCACTTGGCGTGGCACTCGCACCCTCAGGTTGTCTTTGAGCGATCTGATAACCCTGATCTCCCCGCCTTCCATTTCGATCGGAGGATTCATCCCATTTCTTCCCGAGCAGTCGCACCCAAGAACCTCACTGTGAGCCATGAGGACGAGATCTTTGGCCCTGACAGCAACGAAGAGCCTGAGGACGAGGCGTTTGAGCTTCCCGCTGGCTTCGAGCCTTTCCTTGATGAGGAGGACTTGTCCAACGAAGACACTGCTTCGGCTATTGAGCTGTGGTGGGCTCCTTTCCCCTTCGACCGCCGCTCAGGCAAGATGGTCCGCGCTCAAGATGTCCCTCTCATCAAGCAGTGGTACCTGGAACACCCTCCGTCCGACAAGCCTCCGGTCAAGGTCCGCGTATCTTACCAGAAGCTGCTCAAGAACTTTGTTCTCAATGAGCTTCACAAGAAGAAGCCCAAGGCGCAACAGAACCAGAATCTGATGCGTAACCTGAAGCAAACGAAATTTTTCCAGCAGACCACCATCGATTGGGTGGAAGCAGGTCTCCAGGTCTGCAGGCAAGGTTTCAACATGCTTAACCTCCTCATTCACCGCAAGAACCTTACCTACCTTCATCTCGACTACAACTTTAATCTGAAGCCTGTGAAGACCCTGACCACAAAGGAGCGAAAGAAGTCTCGTTTCGGAAACGCATTCCATCTCATGCGTGAAATCCTGCGTTTGACGAAGCTCATCGTCGATGCTCAGGTACAATACCGTCTGGGCAACATCGATGCCTTCCAGCTAGCTGATGGTATCCTGTATGCCTTCAACCACGTCGGTCAGTTGACTGGTATGTACCGTTACAAGTACAAGCTCATGCACCAGATTCGTTCGTGCAAGGACTTGAAACACTTAATTTACTACCGCTTCAACTCCGCGCCCGTTGGCAAGGGTCCCGGTTGTGGTTTCTGGGCTCCCGCCTGGAGAGTCTGGCTTTTCTTCATGCGCGGTATCATTCCTCTTCTCGAGAGATGGTTGGGTAACTTGTTGTCCCGTCAATTCGAGGGACGTCACAGCAAGGGCGTTGCCAAGACGGTCACAAAGCAGCGTGTCGAGTCGCACTTCGATCTCGAGCTGCGTGCTTCCGTTATGGCCGATTTGATGGACATGATGCCTGAGGGTATCAAGCAGAACAAGGTCAACACTGTTCTCCAGCATTTGTCTGAGGCCTGGAGATGCTGGAAGAGTAACATCCCCTGGAAGGTGCCTGGCTTGCCCGCGCCCATCGAGAACATCATTCTCCGTTACGTCAAGGCCAAGGCTGACTGGTGGATTTCTGTTGCACACTACAACCGCGAGCGTATTCGCCGCGGTGCGACCGTCGATAAGACCGTCGCCAAGAAGAACGTCGGCCGTCTCACTCGACTCTGGCTCAAGGCTGAGCAAGAGAGACAGCACAACCACATGAAGGACGGCCCGTATGTCTCTAGTGAGGAGGCCGTTGCCATCTACACGACGACGGTTCACTGGCTGGAGTCTCGCAAGTTCTCTCCCATCCCCTTCCCATCTGTATCATACAAGCACGACACCAAGATTCTCATCCTCGCTTTGGAGCGCTTGCGTGAGGCATACTCAGTCAAGGGACGTCTCAACCAGAGCCAGCGTGAGGAACTGGCTCTTATCGAGCAGGCTTACGACAGCCCTGGTACTACGCTGGAGCGAATCAAGCGTTTCCTGCTTACGCAGCGTGCCTTCAAGGAAGTTGGTATCGACATGAACGACAACTACAGCACCATCAATCCGGTTTACGATATCGAGCCTATCGAGAAGATCAGCGACGCCTACCTCGACCAGTACCTGTGGTATCAGGCCGATCAGCGCCACTTGTTCCCTGCCTGGATCAAGCCTTCCGACTCTGAGGTGCCGCCTCTTCTGACGTACAAGTGGGCTCAGGGTATCAACAACCTGGACAAGGTCTGGGAAACCGAGAACGGAGAGTGCAACGTTATGATTGAGACAGAATTGTCCAAGGTTTACGAGAAGATCGAGCTGACCTTGCTCAACTCGCTGCTCCGCCTGATCATGGACCATAACTTGGCAGACTACATCACGGCGAAGAACAACGTCCAATTGACGTACAAGGACATGAACCACGTCAACAGCTACGGTATGATTCGTGGTCTGCAGTTCTCGGCGTTCGTGTTCCAGTACTACGGCCTTGTCCTCGACCTTCTCCTCCTCGGTCCCCAGCGCGCTAGTGAGATTGCCGGTCCGCCGCAAAGCCCCAACGACTTCCTTCAATTCCGTGACAAGGAGACTGAGACCAGGCACCCCATCCGTCTGTACACCCGTTACATTGACAAGATCTGGGTCTTCCTGCGTTTCACCGCTGATGAGTCTCGCGATCTCATTCAGCGATTCCTCACCGAACAGCCTGACCCCAACTTTGAGAACGTCATTGGTTACAAGAGCAAGAAATGCTGGCCGCGAGACTCTCGTATGCGTCTCATGAGACACGACGTTAACCTTGGCAGGGCCGTCTTCTGGGATCTCAAGAACCGCCTGCCCCGTTCCGTCACCACCATCGAATGGGACGACAGTTTCGCCAGCGTCTACAGTCGTGACAACCCGAACCTGCTGTTCTCCATGTGTGGTTTCGAAGTCCGCATTTTGCCCAAGTGCCGCAATCAGAATGACGACTTTTCAGTCAAGGACAGTGTGTGGTCTCTCGTGGACAACACCACCAAGGAGAGGACGGCGCACGCGTTCCTCCAAGTCACGGAGGAAGACATCCAAAAGTTCAACAACCGCATTCGTCAGATTCTCATGTCTTCTGGTTCGACAACATTCACGAAGATTGCCAACAAGTGGAACACCGCTTTGATCGCGCTCTTCACCTACTACCGTGAGGCGGCTGTGTCCACCGTCACCCTGCTCGACACCATTGTCAAGTGCGAGACCAAGATCCAGACGAGAGTCAAGATCGGTCTGAACTCCAAGATGCCGTCGCGTTTCCCTCCGGCCGTGTTCTACACCCCCAAGGAACTTGGTGGTCTGGGTATGATCTCCGGCTCCCACATCTTGATTCCCGCCAGCGACAAGCGCTGGTCCAAGCAGACCGACACGGGCGTCACTCACTACCGGGCCGGTATGACGCACGACGAGGAAACGCTCATCCCCAACATCTTCCGTTACATCATCCCTTGGGAGGCCGAGTTCATCGACTCCCAGCGCGTCTGGACGGAGTACTCTCAGAAGCGCATGGAAGCTAACCAGCAGAACCGTCGCCTCACCCTGGAGGATCTCGAGGACAGCTGGGACCGTGGTCTGCCCCGTATCAACACTCTCTTCCAGAAGGACCGCAGCACCCTCAGCTTCGACAAGGGATTCCGCGCCCGCGCCGAGTTCAAGATTTACCAGCTCATGAAGAACAACCCGTTCTGGTGGACCAGTCAGAGACACGACGGAAAGCTCTGGAACCTGAACGCTTACCGCACCGACGTTATCCAGGCCTTGGGTGGTGTTGAGACCATTCTCGAGCACACCCTCTTCAAGGCAACCGGATTTCCATCCTGGGAAGGCTTATTCTGGGAAAAGGCCAGCGGATTCGAAGGTTTGCGGAATTTTTACGTCCTAAAGCATCTCTTCCCTTGTTTTTGCGATTTTTCCTTGATTTTCTGGAGGTTTTTGAACATGGTGATGATGGCGGCGATGTCTGGGCCGGCGGTTGACCTGCGCACGGACCATGCGGCCGAGTGGCCCGTGCGTCTGTGCCGGGCATGCGGTGCCTCCGTTGTCGCCGGTGTTGTCGTCGCCGTCGTCGTCCTCTGGCGTCGTCCCTCGGCGTCGTCCCCCGGGGTCGTTCCCTGAAGCCATCTCCCGGCGCCGTCGCTGTCGCTGTCTTCGGTCAATGTCATCGCTATCTTCGACGCCGGCCCGGGTCGGTGTCGTTGCTATCGTCGACTGGCGTAGTCGCTGCCTTCGTCCACTTTCGTCGCTGTCTTCAGCGTCATCTCCGACCATCTTCGCTGTCTTCGGTCATGGACATCGCCATCTTCGGTCGGCGTTGTTTCTATCTTCGGCCGGCGTAGTCGTTGTCTTCGGCTGGCATCATCATTGCCTTCGGCTGGCATCATCACTGCCTTCGGCTGGCACCATCACTGCCTTCGGCTGGCACCATCACTGTCTTCGTTGTCGTCGCCGTCGTCCCCAGGCGTCCTCCGGCGTCGTTCTTCTCTTGCTCTCTTGAATCCGTGTCCATCACCCTTAAGAGCGTCGCTAACTTTTTTTTCACAGAGTCCATGAAATTCAAGAAGTTGACGAACGCCCAACGATCCGGTTTGAACCAGATTCCTAATCGTCGCTTCACCCTCTGGTGGTCACCCACGATCAACAGAGCCAACGTCTACGTCGGTTTCCAGGTGCAACTTGATCTTACTGGCATCTTCCTTCACGGCAAGATCCCCACGCTCAAGATCTCGCTCATCCAGATCTTCCGTGCCCATTTGTGGCAAAAGATTCACGAGTCCGTCGTCATGGACTTGTGCCAAGTCTTTGACCAGGAACTGGAGTCGCTTGGTATCGAGACGGTGCAGAAGGAGACCATCCATCCCAGAAAGTCGTACAAGATGAACAGCTCTTGCGCAGATATTCTGTTGTTCGCCAGCCACAAGTGGAACGTCACGCGGCCTTCCCTGCTGTTCGATACCAAGGATGTCATTGAGCCGACTACAACAAACAAGTTCTGGATCGATGTTCAGCTGAGATATGGTGACTACGACTCTCACGACATCGAGAGATACACGAGAGCCAAGTACCTTGACTACACCACCGACAGTGCCAGTATCTACCCCTCGGCCACTGGTCTTATGATTGGTATTGATCTGGCCTACAACCTGTACTCTGCCTACGGCATGTACTTCCCCGGTCTGAAGGTCCTCATCCAGCAGGCCATGGCCAAGATCATGAAGGCCAACCCTGCCTTGTACGTCTTGAGAGAGCGTATCCGCAAGGGTCTGCAGCTGTACGCCTCGGAGAGCAACCAGGAGTTCTTGAATTCGCAGAACTACTCGGAGCTCTTCAGCAACCAGACGCAGCTCTTCATTGACGATACCAACGTGTACCGTGTTACCATCCACAAGACCTTCGAGGGTAACTTGACAACCAAGCCCATCAACGGTGCCATCTTCATCTTCAACCCCAGAACTGGTCAGTTGTTCCTGAAGATCATTCACACCAGCGTTTGGGCGGGTCAGAAGCGTTTGGGACAGTTGGCGAAGTGGAAGACGGCAGAAGAAGTGGCGGCCCTCATTCGTTCCCTGCCTGTCGAGGAGCAGCCCAAGCAGCTCATCGTGACCCGTAAGGGTCTGCTGGATCCTCTCGAAGTCCACTTGCTCGACTTCCCGAACATTTCCATTAGAGCCTCCGAGCTTCAACTGCCTTTCCAGGCTGCGATGAAGGTCGAGAAGCTAGGAGACATGATCCTTCGTGCTACCGAGCCGCAGATGGTGCTCTTCAACCTCTACGACGAGTGGCTCAAGAGTATCTCCTCGTACACCGCCTTCTCTCGTCTTATCCTCATTCTGCGTGCCCTGCACGTCAACCCTGATAAGACGAAGCTCATTCTGCGCCCGGACAAGACGGTCATCACCCAGGACCACCACATCTGGCCTACGCTGTCCGACGAGGACTGGATCAAGGTTGAAACCCAACTTCGTGATCTCATCCTCAACGACTACGGAAAGAAGAACAACGTGAACGTTTCTAGCTTGACTAGCAGTGAAGTCCGTGATATCATCCTCGGTATGGAGATTTCTGCGCCGTCAATGCAACGCCAGCAAGCCGCAGAGATCGAGAAGCAGCAGCAGGAACAGCAACAATTGACTGCCGTCACGACCAAGACCCAGAACGTCCACGGCGAGGAAATCATCGTCACTACGACCTCGCAGTTCGAGCAGACTACCTTTGCGTCCAAGACGGAATGGCGCACCCGTGCAATTGCCACCTCAAACCTGCGCACAAAGGCAAACAACATTTACGTCTCGTCCGTTGATAACGACTTGGACGATGTCACCTACGTCATGCCCAACAACATCCTCAAGCGCTTCATCACCATCGCCGACCTCCGCGTCCAGGTTGCTGGATACCTCTACGGTACCCCCGCCCCTGACAACGACCAGGTTATGGAGATTAAGTGTATTGTCATGATTCCCCAGATTGGCGGTCTGCGCAACGTCCAATTACCCCAGCAGCTCCCTCAGTCCGACTTCCTCGACGGCATGAAGCCCCTCGGTGTCATCCACACAGCCTCAGGCTCCGAGCTCCCCTACATGTCCGCCGCCGACGTCACCGAGCACGCCCGTCTCATCGACGCCCACCCCGAATGGGACAAGAACAACACGGTCACCGTCAACGTTGCCTTCACTCCCGGCTCCGTTTCCCTCTCCGCCTGGGGCCTCAACCCGCAAGGCTACAAGTGGGGCGCCGAGAACAAGGACACGGGCAGCGATCAGCCGCAGGGCTTCACCACGACCATGGGTGAGAAGCGCAAGCTGCTCCTCAGTCCCCGCTTCCGCGGCTTCTTCCTCGTACCCGAGAACGGCATGTGGAACTACAGCTTCATGGGCTCCGCCTTCGCCGGCATGGAGAAGAAGCCCATCCACGTCAAGCTCGACACCCCGCTGCCGTTCTACAGCGATCAGCACCGCCCCGTGCACTTCCACAGCTTTGCTGAATTGGAGGACATCTGGGTCGATAGGCAAGATAACTTTGCCTAAGGTGGAGGCGAGCGAGATTTTTCTTTGCACTATTCATTTTCTTGTTCATTAAAGTTGACAAAAAGAAGACACGAAGGGGAAGGTGGCATGGGGGGTTTTACATGTTTTTGTATGATTAGTCTGGCATCTGGCGTTGAGAAAGGCAGCCCATGGGGTTTTAATTAAATCCAAAGTGTACTTTTGTGAACCAAAAATATGCGTCCCAATATGAGTGACAATAAGTTTTGAGAAGTAGACTGTCTTTAGCAGCAAACCTAACGTGGGTTTTTGACAATCCCGGCGTCCTCAGAGTACACATTTGTCCGATACGAGGGTGCCGGTGATCTAAGCTGATTTGTTGCTACATAGAATTCCTCACCGCTCACTTTGTTGTTTGTTGCGTTGATATTACACCTTGCGTGCCCTGGGGGTTCCCCTTGCCTCCGCTCTTCGCGCCTGGCATCCCCTAGCTTCCCTCGACGCTGTCCATTTTCACCGTCTTGAAAAATCTTAGTTCTCAGTGCCGTCGTCCTCGTCACCTTCTCCCCCGTTCGTCACTACCGCTCCCTAAGCTTGATGGCGGAGAAGACAGGCTCGACAGGCAGGACAGTCTGGACCTTTGGTACATGGTTTCCTTCCCGTGTTGCCTCCTTGGTATCAGAGACAGGTCCTTACCTGGTGATTCTGCTAGAGCTAAATGCAGCATGCTAGTTACCACTCATTGAGTCGCCTAAAATTCTTTTTCCGCATTTCTTCAACGTCCATACCTTCCTAAGGCCTTGTTTCCCTCTTCATTCTCAACGCCTACCAGGACCAACTTCACTTCATGAATATTTCTGCTTTTTGTACTTCAAACCAGAGAAAAAGACGGCGATCCAATGATTAACATCAGCCTCAGGTGAAAATACGAGCATCCTGTTCCCTGCCTTGACATAACCCCTCGGTCCGTGTCGTATAACACGCGATCACAACAAAGACCCAGGCTTGGCGTGTCAAGCTCCACGTTGTCTCTGCGAAACTCAGTTGCAGCTGACTTGTACATTGACCTTGTTATCACGAAGGTTATGTCCATTGCGATGTCAGGAAACTCCCAAAGACAACGTAGCCCCCGCCTGGTGGTACAATCACCGCAAACGCGAACTATTACTGCAGGAACAACCCATAACGAGATCGGAAATGATGCCATCGATAATAGCTTCAAAATTTCGAGCAGATATAGACGCCCAACGTCCGCCATTGACCTCACATCAAGCTTACGGAAACGTATCAAGCTGCGACAGCAAGGACACTAAGGAGTAGGGGGGCAGCAGATATGATGTGCAGACGTTGCTAGTGGTTTTCGTACTGGTCGCGGAAGCTAACACAACGAAGATGGACTTTGTGGAAACACTTCATGAGCTCTTGAGGCTTCATAGAGAACAATTTCGGCAACTACAACGTTTGACGACCGAAGTTGGCTGATATGATGAACAAATATGTGGAATCCATCTTTTTGAGTAAATTCCAACCGGAATCAACGACCCTGATATCAACTCTTGTAGCCAAAATCATTCGGCAATGACCGCAATAAGTGTCACGATCTCGGAGTGACGATCTGGACTGCTTGAAAAGCTCAGCGCTTTTCTCTTTGGACCGAGAAGGTCCATGGATATGTAATGCAATATCATGTAGCACAGAGCTCCCATTTCCATTTGTCTAGATGTCTGTAGTTCTCCATACGCAACTCTAAGACGTGTTCGAGCCCTCCCGTTAGAGTAGGTAGACATGATACATTTCTCATCGCCGTATGGAAAGAAGAGAAGGACACTTGCCAAAGGCATGGGCAACAGAAGCTCCATTGGGCCAGCGTCGCCGGCCATGTTGCGCATACATCTTGTGGCCAACCTGATGCTCGCATTTCCTCTTGCTCGCATCCTCAGAAAGGTTTCATGAGAGTCCCAGCATAGAACGGTTTACAAGAACGCTGCACACCAGCAATTGGCATCAACCAGAACTACTACTACATGCACCACCCATTCTCTCCTCACCATGTTCTCAACATCAGCCATCTCTTACATTCCCATTCAGCTTTGTGGGTGGAAGCTCGAACAGGCTTTGGCAAAGCGGAATCAATCCACAGCACGCCTGGCTCCAAGAAGATCATCAAGCCATGTTGAAACAGCAAAGAATCGCATCAGGTATAACTCATCACGATGAGGAGGCTGACACGATTCAACGTCTACTTCATCCCCACAGAAACTCGATATTCGTTGCTACGCCGTGTATTAATCCCTCAGTTGATAGCCAAAATAATGGAACGACAGCACCTCGTATCACACCTCTCACAAATTGGCCCCCAATGGAACACAAAAAAACACACAAAAACCAATTCGCGATAGTCCCCATGTTAATAGCTCACTCAGTTGTCCCGACACGTTGCACAGAATTGCCTTGGCCCAAAAAGATAGAGCGGAAGAGGTCATGGCGGTCAAAATCGCTGTCTCTCTCTTGTTTTTTCTTGACCTGCACGTCTTGTTTTCTTTTCTGTTCAATTTTCTGTTGCTATTTAGTTCAACCCAACGCGCGCACACATCGCGCTTTGCTTTCCATATCTTGCTTGCACTGCAATTATGTTTGACCACAACCTATTCCGCACATCCCATCCCGTACCTATGACGTCTGGTAAAAGAAGCAATCTATCTACTCACGGCCAAGCTTTGACAAAACGAACATACATGACGCAAGCATCAGTAATCGCAAAACTGACACTTACATTGCAACCTCGGCCAAAATCAGGTCCCGTGGAAATTATCATGAGACATTCAGATCACAGCTCTACAATGCAATGTTTGTCAGTGTCACCAATAACGCTATTTGGATTTGCATGGGACAAGAAGAGCAAAAAGAAAAAGGTTGCCAATTAAAAAAAGAAACTACTCTATTTCATGCGTTTGGAATTAGTTGAAACGATATGTGAGCTGTCACAGCCTGTCAGCCGCACTTATTTCGTTCCTGTTAATGCGTCCTGTGTTCTGTGAAACATCCTCTTCCAAGGGGCTACGTAACCACCTTGCACTTGGAGGAAGGCCTTGAGGGAGGGGCCGCGAGACAAAGACAAAGATTGGAAAAACTCTGTGAAGACGGCGAAGACGGGGACGGAGACAAAAGATGTACGCCGACGGTGATGATGGAGGCCGGACGACAGAGATGGGGATGCCCGAGGGCACGCGAACGAGATTGACACTGAAGACGGGATTGGCGATGTTGAAGGCAGCAATAATAGAAACACGAAAAAGTATGATAGAGAAGGGCATTATACGGCCCCTCCGTGTTGCCAAACAGGTGTTCACTAAAACAAGCAACAACTGTCATGAGCTGTCATGACTTTGGCAGGCAGTTGCGCTTGACGCGAAGACGAACGCTGCCTCCGCGGGCGCCCGTCATACGCAGAGCCCCGTTCGACTCTCGACCGGGCCCAAACTGCCGGAATTTGTCATTGAGGGGCACGAGATGACCAGGTCAAGGTCGGAGAACACGGGGGTGGCGGATGATGTGGATGCCTTGGAATAGAACATCAGGGGAGGCAAAACTTCTAAGGTCTTCCTGATTTTCGTTCCAAGGCTTCCATGCAGCTTCTCATCTGGGAGAAGTTGGCAGGGGGCCTTGCTTCGCTTGCGGCTGGACGATATGCAGGTACGGACGGTGGGTGCCGAGAAAGAAAGGGATCATCTTGAAAACAGGTACCCCGGCGGTCCAAGAAGGGAGGGAGTTGCATGCGTGACGACTGTCAGTCGTGTTTTTTTGCGTCGTCTGTGGAGTCGATGTCGTTCATCGTGGGTGGCCTTTGCTGTGCCCCGTGTATCCGCGGCCGCTACACCGGCCCCGACCGTTGGAGTTCTTTTTTGGTGTCTAGCGATGTCTCTGTCTCTTCTATCTTCGGACGACAGTGGCTGCAAACGGTAAGGCGGCGGGAAGGCCGTTGAAGATGGTGGGCAGTCTAATCGCTGATTCAGCGGGGTAGATGGCCCGCGCAAATTGGAGATTTCATGCATTAATGCGACTGGGCGAGTTTAAGACAGGGCTTCCCCTTTCGGTGCGGTTCCCAATGTTCAAGGTCGATGCGATGGAAACGCTGTGCTGGATCACTCCGGAGAGGCTAGCTGCCCTGTGGATATTGGCAGCTGGGGCGGCAGATTGGCAAACGTGTCTGTTGACGAAGATTGGGTCATAATGGCCGATATGTCGGCAGCGTTGTCGTGATATTGGCATGGGAAAAAGGGGGCTGTTTCCGTGTCTCTCGGGCCTTTTTGTCTGTGTACTCGTTGTGGCGGCGATGGAACGAAACGTCATCGAGCTGCTGCATCCTTGGAGATGGGGTCGGGATGGGCTTAAGGTGCGGCTGATATTGACGATGCATTCCGTGTTGGGTATCTCTTGGCCCAGGCCATCGGGAATGGGGGCTCTTCCTGGCAACGTCGTTGGACGAACAAGGGTTCGCGAAAAGGAACAGAAGAAAAAAGTGGCAAGGTGCGGATATTTTTGGTCGTGGAGATGTGGCTGTTTTCGGGAACGTGATTGGCGATCAGCACAGTCGACGCCGCAATTGAGCGTCTGTTGAATGAGCCACAGGACGGCGCATGAAGACGTCGAAATGACTTCTGGGTCAACCCCCGTCGGGCGAGGAGCAAGATGCGTTGGATCGGGCGACCTCTCCAGTCGGGACGAACTATTGCGCTTGGAGGGTGGAGATGAAGCACTGCGATCCGGAGATGGCTTTGGCTCTGGCGGCTGGGTTGAAGGGGGACCCGGCAGTTACGAGATCGAGGACAGGAGTTGGCCGTCTTCTTCGTGGCCTGGCCCTCTTGTCGTATCGTCTGCTCGTTTTCTCCTTCCCAAACCCAATGCGAGGCTTGGATGCGGCGCTTCGCTCGTCGGCAGACCCAAAAGCGTAGGTGGCGCAAGGTAAATCAAACGTCGTTGGGAGGGGCTGTCGCGGATCTCAGGAGACGCTCGGAATCGGGACGCCGAAGAAGTTGCGACAC